GGCAGAGCGCAGCCCCGCCCAGGACCACAGTGCGTCCTGCCCCCCTGCTCCCCTGCCCCCCGCCAGTCAAGCAGTGCCCAGCAGGCCGGCGGGTGTGGTTAGAGAAGCAGGGAGGGTCCCTCGCCCGGACCTGGGCGGGCCCCGAAGGCTCCGGCTGGCCAGCTCTGAAGGGTTGCCTGTCCCAGGGACTGGGACGGGGCAGGGGGGGCTCAGAGGCCCGGGAGCAACCACCTGCTGGGAGCCGAGACAGGCACTTAGACCCAGAGAGTGTGGGTCCCCTGCTGGCAGCATTAGCACCCCCTGGACCCCCAGGCCCTCTGAGGCAGAGACTTGGGGGGTATCTGCTCAGCAAGCCCTCTGAGGGGGACCCGATACTGCTCAGTTGGGAAGGGGGTCGGGACCGGTGCAGTGGCCAGCGGGGGCCAGGGCCTCATGGCTGCCCTCGGGCTCTGCGTGGGGACAGGAGGCTGCAGGGGTCAGAGGCCCTCAGGCTATCCGAGCAGCTGCACTGGACATGGCTTCCTGCTCCCCAGGGCCTGTCCCTCCTCTCACAAGCTCCCCTCCTAGCCCGGCCCGCGTGGCTCAGTGGTGAGCGTTGACCTATGAACCAGGAGTCACAGTTCGATTCCTGGTCAGGGCACATGCCTGGGTTGTGGGCTCCATCTCCAGTGTGGAGCGTGCAGGAAGCAGCTGATCAATGATTCTCTCATCACTGATGTTTCTATCTCTCTCTCCCTCTCCCTTCCTCGCTCTAAAAGCAATTAATATCTATACATACATATTTTTTTTTTGTTAATCCTCATCCAAGGAAATTTTCCCATTGATTTTTAGAGCGAGTAGAAGAGAGAGGGAAAGACAGAAACACTGATGTGAAAGAAATACATCGATTGGTTGCCTCCTGCACGCGCCCGGACCAGGACCCAGACCAGGAAGGAGCCTGCAACTGAGGTACGTGCCCTTGACCAGAATCGAACCCATGACCCTTTGGTCCGCAGGCCGACGCTAGTCTATCCACTGAGCCAAACCGGCCAGGGCGTATACATACATATATATATTTTTTTAAAGCTTCCCTCCCAGCATCCTCAGGGCAGCGCTGAGCCAGCAGCCTGCCTCTCATTGGCCTCCCTCTGTGAGAAGCGCTGTCTGCTGGGTCCCAGGGCGTGAAGGACCCCAGACCGTCCTTTCCTCGTGCCCCCCACCTCCCAGGCCCTCCAAGGGCCGGGCCAGGGCAGCCGGACTCAGGACGCTGACAGACACCCTGGCGGCCCTGCCCTCAGGCATCCGAGGACCAGAAATTCCTGGGGCCTCGGGGAAGCCTCCCTCCACGCCGGAGGCCGGACAGCCCTGCAGACCCAGCGTGGGTCTCCCCCAGCACAGCCTTCGCCTCCCGTCACCTCCCCTCTGCCCCGGGACAGGGGAGCCCCACTCCCCTCAAGGGAAGTGGTCTGAGGTGGCGCCCAGGGCCCCCTGTCCGCTGGCTGACCAGCTGGGCCTGCAGGAGAGGCATCAGCCGTCTCAAAGGCACTTGCCCTGGGGCTGAGCACGCTGACCCCCCTCTCCGGTTTGAGACGGGGGCGGGGCACCAGCCTGGGCCCGGCTTTCCCCTTTCCCGGCGGCTTTCCCGGCTCCGAGTCAGAGGCAGCGCAGCCTGTGCTGCTCCCGGCAGAGACGGAGTCGGTTCTGCCCAGTCTTCCCCGTGGGCAGCTCGCAGGCCCCTGGGTCAGGCCCAGGCAGAGGGTCCCCTTCAGTCCCCGGTTCTGTGAAACCCCTCGGGACGCAGCGGCGAGCGCCCGGCCTGGGGTTTACCCAGCTCCCCTCCAGCCCCTGTGCCAGCCTGTCTCCTAGCAACGCTGTCCCCGGCGACTCTGAACCCCGCTGAGTCCCGTCTACACCAGCAAAGGCCCGGGAAGCTCACGCGTGGTTACCCGGCAGCAGCCAAGGGCCTGGCACACGCACCCCAGGCCTCGGGAG